ATGTTGTTCTATGCCATGCTGAGTGCAGGGCTTTCTACAGTGCGGTCCTCCCTTCCTCATTTGCCTGGAAGATCACCACCCCTCATCTTCTCCTGTTACCTGCCTCTCCCTCTCCACCAGGCTGTCTGCAATGACCCCTACAGTCTCCCGGCATTCTCTCTGTCCTCTGCCTTGCATGCAGTGCACTCCACCGGAACGCCCTCCCCGCCTCCATCTTCACCAGACTAACTCCTGATAGCATTTCCCAAAATTTCATTAAGTATATTGCTTTTACCATTTGCTCAAACATGCACCAATCTCTCAAATTGTTAAGGCAAAATGTTACCATTAAGTAACAAAAAGTGATGCATCAATGACAATTCCAGATGGAGTAGTACAGAGAGCTGAAAGACAACTGATCTGAGGTTACTTGTGTAATTCCTTTCCTTCCCCAAAATATGACACACTGCAGGTGAGTTTCTGGGCCAGGGTACAAGGGCAGCAAAGCCCTCACCACTGTGGGTCTGGCACCTCCTCACCCACCCACAAAAGGAATGTTTCATTTACAGTGAACAAAACCAATTTGGCACAAGAGCGATCACTTAGAGGTCTTCCCCACACAGAAGGTCAACAGTTTAGCATCTCAATTATTTGAGATAGATTTCCTTTTCTAACAGCAGAAATTGCAGCTGTACTTCATTTAAAAAAAAAAAGCCAGATATTTATTTCTCGAGGCAAGAAGGCAGATATAGGTTAAGTCACAACTTCCAGTGCAGCCTCCACAGCCTCATTTACCAGATAAGAACTCGCACATAACCTTTAGTCCTTCACTTCTAAAAGGCACACATCCATCTTTCTCCTCCCACTTCCGGAAAGAGCAGAAAATGAAGCTGGAGCCATCCGTTTTGAAATACACAACAGCAAGGGCGTGGGTTTAAGCAGTTTCCTTCAACAATGGACAGTTCTCTCCAAGATCCCGGACAGACGCTCTGTGCTCTGTGAAGAACCACACGATGATTCTATACTGGGGGCCTGCGAGGCAGTGTTCCCCACAGTCTCTGCTCTTACAACAGAACAGCTCTGTGAACTTCACCCAGCCAGTATGAGAGGGGAAATGTACTAAAAGGCAACGATACTGTGCGTGGAATTACCATAAAGTGTTTAATTAAACTCGGCGCCTTCAGCCCGGAGTTCCCTATGACATGACCAGTGGAATGGGTCATCTCTGCCCACCAGGCCTGTGGCTGCTATTACACTGCCATGTTCCACAGCACCCTGTGCTCCTGGCTGACTATCTGTTTATGGCAACGTGGTCTATCGGCCAGAGCCTGCATCTGTGAGAAGATGCCTAACAATGCAGATCTTTACTAGAGTGTTGAGTCACTAAACAACACTGCCCTTCCCCCCTGCCCTCCACCCCACCCCGCTGCAAGTTTCAGGAGCAGCCTAGATTTGTAGTACAGTGCACAGTGCCGTAATGAAATTCCTGCTCTTCCGAGGCCAGGATTGCGATTCAGACCCAGCTGCTGTTTACCAGCTAAATAACTTTGGGAAAGTCACTTAACCACTCTAAGCTTTTAGAAACACCTGATTAGACCCTGGAAGTCCCCACACGCTCTGGCCCCTGCTGATGTCTCAGATTATTAGAACCACCACTTCCCCTCTTTAACAGTCTGACATGCTGAGCTCAAGGGCCTTTGCACCTGCTGTCCTCTCTGCCCAATATACTCTTCCTGTTTCACCTGGCTGGCTACTTGTCATGACTCAGGTCTCAACTCAAATGTCAAAAAGTCACCACCAGACCTCATTAACATCATGTTCAGTTATGTGAGTGCAATTGTAGAATTCATTTACATAAAGCACAAAAAGGAACAAACCCAGTACGGTGGCGTAAGTCAGGGGACTGGTTACCCTTTTCAGGGTGGAGGTAGTGAAAGGAGGGAGACCAGGGGGCCCTCTGGGTTACTACTATATGATTTGGTTCTTGATCTGGATTTGGTTACCTGGGCGTGTTCAGTTTGTGAAAACATATCAAGTTGTTCACTTATAATATATACATTTATAATATGGGTGTTATATTGCAGTAAAAAAATTAACCAAACAAAAAAAACCACCTGGTCAAATTGGTTTTCCTTGATCTAATCTACGCCACTCTCTTGGCTAAGCTATTCATTCTCCATCCCAATCCTTTTATTTTCTTCATAGCATTTGTCACTAGCTGAAATCATCTTCATTATTATTTATTTTTTATTTTTATATAAATTTTATTGGGGAACAGTGTGTTTTTCCAGGACCCATTGGCTCCAAGTCAAGTAGTTGTTTAATCTAGTTGTGGAGCACGCAACTCAGTGGCCCACGTGGGGATGGAACAGCAACCTTGGTGTTATGCGCACTGCACTCTAACCACCTGAGCAAACCAGCGCCCCTCATTATTGTTTATGTATGTACAATCTAGTCCCTTCTCCACTCCCACTAAAACAAAGTATCACGTGGACAAGGATTTGCTGACCACCCCCAAATCTCAGCACCTGGAACAGTCCTGTTCTAGATACAGGCTGAATTAAAAAAAAAAAAGTATGTAAAATAAGAAGCAGCTAAAGGGGGTCCTTTAAGGATATAACAGCAATAAAAAATCAAAACAGTGAAGCCAAGATCAGAGGAAATACAAATTTCAATGACATGAAGCATTAGGAATATGTGTCAAATATAAATTCAACTATGGGGAAGGGCTAGAGTGTCATTCTATGCACACCTTTGTCAGAGTGGTTAACGTTACTTCTCAAAGCAGAAACTGGGTTTTTTATCTCTGCACATCCAACAGTTTTGCGCAAGGCCTGGTACAAAATATTGGGTTGTCGGAGAAGTCATGACATATTTTTTTCTGTTTTTCGTTGCAAAAATGTGTCATGACTTTTCTGACAACCCAACAGTTCTGAGCCAAGAGTGGCAACAGATTTCTGAGACACCTGGTGAAGATTATTACGTTTTGTGGGAAAAGTGGGTGATGTTCCATTGTAACGTCTGCCATTGGCAAGGGAGTAGGTGGGTACAACATCCAAGCCGACTTAGATGAAGTACATACTAAGAAGCATCCCAGAATGTGAAGAGTTCCTTACAAGTCACAAGCAATACTCACCTACTTTGTTATTTTTTTGCCAATTCTAAGATTTCTTTATAAAGAAAAAAATAAAATCTTGGATGTTATAGTTACTACTGGTATGCAGACTAACTTATATGCTGGCATAATGCATTTTCAGGAGCAAATCTGTACTCACAAAGCAACAGCCTGGTATAATGAAAACTTAGAAGTAAACCTTTATTCTGGAATCAACTCTGCCACAAACTCTCTGTATAACCCTGAACAAGTCATGGAACTTTAGGCCTCAATTTTTACCTGTGAAATGAGCTGGTTGGACTAGATGCTTGCTGATGCCTACTTTCCAGTTCTTGGACCCTGTGTACTACTCTTGAATTATTCTCATCTTCTAAGCCTTCTGTTTACAGGATAACAAATCATCCACAAGTAAATCAAGGTTACCAGGTGGAATGAAGTAAGAGCTCCTTTACCCAGTCTTTTTGCCAAACCAAGTATATTTATCCCCAGATTCTCTCGAGTGTTGTGTTCAGGCTCCCATTTTTTGGTTAGACAAGAAGCCCTATCATACTGCAGCTAAACACTTGGCTTTCTCTGTGCAATTACTTCCTTTGCTTGAGTTTTCACTCCCGTCGGCCCCATGTTTCTCATCAAGTCTACAGTCACAGTTAGCACAATTCCTGTTTTTTGTCACACCTAAATAATGAATAGGACTTCATCACCTGGAGGTATTCTCCTCACTCGGTTACAATAGTTATTTGTGATTTTAATTAGACAAAACCGTCATTCCTTTTGCTATCCCACTATACAGTCAAGTGCCTATTAAGGATATTACAATAATAAGTATTAGCACCTTTTAAATTTACATTAACAAAAAGGGAGAAATGAGAAATCAAGAAATGAAAGGAGAAAAAAAATAAATAAAAGCCTCACAGATGTCATAATTAACCAAAGCTTAGAGTAACTCAGAAAATCATGAGTAACTACTTTAAAATTTCCTTAAAAACTGTGCCATGCATATCCTCCTTAAAATTGCATGGGTGATTATTTGCATCTCTTCAATTAAAAATGGGAAAATGGACAATGACATTGCTCTGCTGTGCCTGAGCTCCACACTGTTCTTTCTTTTAAAGGGGAGACTACGGAGAAGAATGGTTGAGTGATTTCTCCAAGAGTCATCACCAACTCCTGACTCCCCACACGCCTTCTGACTGCTGCCACCCTTGCCATCAGCAGAAGGTAAACTCTACTGGAGGCCAAGTTCTAATAGCTGACTGATTAGCATTCAAAAAACCGCTTGAGCAAGGAGAAAGTGGACAGGGCCAATGCTCTGATGTGTTTAAGTGACAGAACTGATTTTTCATTGAAAAGAGAAGGGAGAGCGGTTGCCATTTTTCTCCTTGACCCCGCATTTCACCAACTCAGGCGCCCCCAAAGTCTACAAAAGCAGGCAGCCTGCAGAAAGTTCACTCTGGGAGGTGAGCTACTAATTAGCACCAGCGAGGTTGGGTTTCTAGGCAAGCTCGTCACGTGGCCTAACAAATGCGCTCAGGAATAGGGACGTTTGAAAAGCAGAACTAGCAAAGCAGATAATAAAACCTCAGGACTCCAAAACCCGGTTCGAGGAACTTTTCCGGAGCTTGCATGCAGAGCCTGGGACAGAGCCAGGTGCCTCCCGCGCGAGCTCGGGGAACCGACAGCTTCTGAGGTTGGGTGGTTCACATTCTGGGGCAAGCCGGGCTGTCGTGCACACCGGAGCGAGCCGAGGGCACGGGGGACCCTCCAGAGGTGCGGCGCCCGAGCGGCAGCGCACCCGGGACCAGGAAGGAGACGGGAGGAGGAGGAAGAGGAAGAAGGACAGGAGGACCCGGGCAGGCAGGAGCCCCGTCAGCGGCCTACCCGCGGCCCTGCCTCGGAGCCCGCTCACCTGAGACCTGGTCGCCAGGAGCCGGGGCCGGAGCGCCAGGTCTCGCAGAAGTTTCCGGGCCTGCGCTGCCACGGGGGACGCCATCTTAACCAGGGAAGCCTGCGCGGGGGAGCCGGCCAGCGCGTCCGCAGCGGGAAGAGAGGGAGGGGAGGAGGCGGGCCCGGCCGCCCCCGGGCCCGCCCCCTGCCCGCGCCCCGGGCCCGGTGCTCGGAGGGAGGGATGCGGCCGCACCCGTCGGGGAGCGCCTGGCCGCGGTCCCTGAGCCTGTTCCCGGCCCGCGGGTGCTACCGAAGTCGCCACGCCCGGGGTCCCCAAGTTCACTTTTAGCGTTCAGAGGCCTCTGGCCTTCTCCTTGTGCTACCCGAGGATAGTGTTGTTTTTGAACAAAAACAGATACCGAGTCCTGAGGTTATGGGGCTTAAACTGAACCGGTGGGCCAACAGACAAGCGAATATTAGTCCTTGCAGTGACTGCTCAAAAGACCGGCCCACGGGCCAGGCGCCATCTAACAGCCTCTGGTCTAGCCCTGGGGTCACAGAGGCATGCCTAGCAGAGCGATGCTTGAGCTGAGACGTGGAGGAATGAGGGGGAGGCAAGTGGGTCTGGTGAGCTTGGTGGAAGCCCTCTACATCTCAGTAAGGTGGTGGTGCTTTTTGCCCTTAACCGAGAATCAGTGCAAAGCTACTGAAGGATTTTAAGCCCAGTCATCACCATAATAAGAGCAGACATTTATTTGGAGTTTACTGACTCTTAAACGCTGTATGCGTAACACAAATGACTATAGCAAAAATGCTTAATGCATACCAAACAGTTGACAAATATGAACCAATTTAGTCTCCATAGCAACCTTTCCAGTAAGTACAAGTGTAAAATCCACGTTTTGCGGAAGAGGAAACTGAGGCACAGAGAGGTTAAGGAACTTGTTTCTGGTCACAGATTTGATAAGGAGTGGAAATGAGATTCAATCCCATGCTCTTTCTTCTCCCCACCCCATCAAGCAGTGTGTTAGATATTTTTATCTTTACTTATTCTTGAGCATGTAATCATGAGAAAAGGTATAATGTAACATAACTAGGCAACTATTGCTGCTAGCTTCCTTATCGCCCGCCTTTTTAAAAAAATTATTTTGACAAATTAAACATACAGAAAAGTTGTAAGAAAGAATATTACCTCCAAATGCCCAAATATCTTATACCCAGATTTGCCATTTATATTTTGCTCTCTTTCCGTTTCTTGATAGTTATAGATACATAGATTTATAACCCATTCCTCATCACAATTTTACCTGCTATAGATTTAGCATCTGTTGGTGATTATTGCTTGAATCCGCTATTACTATGATGGTTGCAAAATGGCGATTGTCTAATTCCATCCTCTTCTACATTTTTTAGTTTACATTCTACTCTGAGAAGAGCTTTACTTCTCCCACATTTCTTTATTTATTCTTGTATTCACTTGTATCAGTATGGACTCATGGTTTCCTTTTTATTCAGTGTCAAACCTATGCTCTTCATATTGCATACACATCCTACTGCTTCCTCTGGATATGGGTCATTTAATCCTCACAGGAACCCTTCAAGTAGGTCCTACTGTTATTCCCATTTTACCAGAGAGACAACTGGGCCACAGAGACATTATGTAACTTGCCAGGGTCACACAGCTTGGGATCAGACCCCAAAACTGTAATCTAACCACTCTTACTACACACCCTACCCTTGACATGAATATATCTGAGTTTCCATCTCCTCCATCATTACTCCCACTAGGGCTGCCATCTAGCTAAGATGGAGCACAGACTTTTATTAATGTTTGTAGACTGAATGTTTAAACTTGGTGAGAGCTTTGAGCATGCCAAAAGGAAGCAGACCACCTGTAGAATTAAGCAAAGGCTGTATGTTCAGACATTATTATGTTAAGAGAGATAGCTACTATCACTTTCCTTCCAGCAGAGACTAGAAGGAGTTTGGAAAAAGAGTGCATTTTATTAAGAGAAAGGAGAGACTTTAAAGACAGTCTTTGTTTGGGTGTTCTATTAGGATGAGATTTTTTTCTATTAGGGCATGATTTTTAGAAGTGGAGAGGCTTTCTTATTGCCATTCGAGTACATTTGGTTGTCTTTAATTGGTTCACAGTCTACTAGTACATAACTGGGGACTTTCCAGGCTGGGTAGCATCGTGGGAGTTTTCCTGTTTCAATTGGAAGACTGCCTGTTCCTCAGCTTTGGGGCCCAAGCCTTGTATCACCAAATCCTTAATGTCTTCACCCACATTCTGTCATTCTGCTTTCTCTGCAGACAAGGGGTTGGGGGAGATGGAGCAGAGAACATCCATATGCTGTCTCCAGTGTCTAGCACAGGGCCAGGACTAAAGGAAGTGCACAGTAAAAGGACTAGAGGAAGTACGCAATAAACACATGTAAGATAAGTCCTACTTACTGAATTCCTCCTAAAACTCCTCACTATTTTCTTTTTTTCCAAATAGGAAGCTCTTCGAGGTCAGGGATTCCACCAGAGTTTTTCACTGTGCTTTATACTGAGACAGTCATTGGGTTTTCAGTCAAACTGGATTGGAATCAAAAGCTACTTCTACTCCCTACAAAATTGTGGCCTAGAGAAGTACCTCTTTGTACCGTGGTAGTAAGTATTCGATGAGATGTTGTGTATAAAGACCTTGTGCCTAGTAGGGGCTTAATAAATGTTATTTTTCTTCATCTAATGGATTCCTAATAAATATTTTATTGTTATCTAATGTGAAACACTAGAGTCAATCAGAGATATGGGTTGGAAGCCCCAGGCACTTGGGAACTTATATCAATAGCATTGGAGAACTATGGAGATGAGTAAATGCCAGATGAAAGTATTAAAAGTGTCTAAAGTCATTTCCTCCAGGAAAAGGGTAGAGGGTAGTGGTCATGGAACCATTATATTTTTATTCATTTTTAAAATTATTTTATTGAAGTATAATTGGCATACATTAATAATTTCATGTGTACAGCATAGTGATTCAACATTTGTGTGCATTGTGAAATGATCTCCACAATAAATCTAGTTGCCATCTATCTCTATACAAAGTTAGTACAATATTTTTTTACTGTATTTCCATGCTGTGCATTACATCCTCATGACTTATTTATTTTATAAGTGGAAGTATGTACTTCTTGATCCCTTTATCCATTTCACCACCCACCATCACTCCTCCCTTCTAGTAACCACCCATCTGTTCTCTATGAGTTTTCTTTCTTAGATATAAGTGAGATCATATTACATTTGTCTTTCTCCATCTGATTTGTTTCACTTAGCATAGTACCCTCTAGGTCCATCCATGTTGTCACAAATAACAAGGTTTCATTCTTTTTTATGGCTGAGTAGTATTCCATTATCACATTTTCTTTATTCACCAACGATGTATACTTAGGTTGTTTCCATATCTTGGCTATTGGAAATAATGCTGAAATGAACATAAGAGTGCATATATCTTTTCAAATTAGTGTTTTAGTTTTCTTCAAATAGGTACCCAGAAGTGGAATTGCTGGATCATATGGCAACTCTAGTTTTAATTTTTGGAGGAACCTCTATACTGTTTTCCATAGAGGTTACACCAATTTACAGTCCCACCAACAGTGCATAAGGGTTCTCTTTTCTCCACACCTGCACCAACACTTTTTTTTTGTTATTACTTGTCTTATTGATAATAGCCATTCCAACTTGTGTGAGGCGGTGTCTCATTGTGGTTTTGATTAGGATTTCCCTTATAGCTATTGAAGTTGAGCATCTTTTCATGTATCTGTTGGCCATCTGTATGACTTCTTGGGAAAAGTGTCTGTTCAGGTCCTCTGTCCATTTTTTAATTGGATCGTATGTTATTTTGTTATTGAGTTGTACGTGTTCTTTATATATTTTGGATAGTAATCCTTCACTGGATAAATGATTTGCTAGTATCTTCTTTCATTTGGTAGGCTGTCTTTTTGTTTTGTTGATGTTTTTCTTTGTTATGCAGAGCTTTTTAGTTTGACATAATCCTATTTGTTAACTTTTACTTTTGTTGACTTTGTCCTTGGAATCACATTCAAAAAAAAAATCACTAAGACTGATGTCTAGGAACTTACTGCCTATATTCTAGGAGTTTTATGATTTCAGGCCTTACATTCAAATTTTCAATCCATTTTGAGTTTATTCTTGTATTGGTATAAGGTAGTAGTCCAGTTTTATTCTTTTGCATGTGACCGTCCAGTTTTCCCAACACCATTTATTGAAGAGATTGTCCTTTCCTCACTGTATATTTTTGCCTCCTTTATCATAAATTAGTTGACCATATGTGTGCGGGTTTATTTCTTGGTTCTGTATTCTGTCCCATTGATCCATGTGTCTGTTTTTATGCCAGTACCATACTTCTTTGATAGCTATTGACTTGTACTGTAGTTTGAAATCAGGGAATGTGATACATCAGCTTTATTTTTCTTTCTCAAGACTGCTTTGACCCATTATATTTTTAGAACTTCAACAATGCAAATTCCTAGACTCCATTGTAGACCTATTGAATCAGGATCACTTATGATGGGATCTAGGATCTACATTTAAATAATCTTCTCTAATAGTTCTTTAGTTTGAGAACTAAAAATGCAAGCAAACTAAACTATAAAGTCAAACTCTCAAGAAGTTTCTTGGCAAATCAAGAGACAAGTTACTCTGCTTTCCTCGACTGGGTTCCTAAATGTAAAAAGGACAAGTTCATAAATTGTAGATGCAGGTGATGACTAAATACTACTTCGAGAGAACCCTGACACGTAGTACAAAACTCATTTTCTACCAGCAGTCTAGGTCAGCTGGGACATGTGGAAGCATTGGCTAAAGGTGACTACATAGCTATTCCATGCTTTTTCTTTGTCACAGTTGTAGTTGTGGACTGCTTGACCAGTGACTGGGGCCATAGGTGGCAGCACTGTCAGAAGCACTGTACTGTCTGAATGAACCCCAGAAGGAGACATCAGACAAATCGAGTTGAAGTCTTGACTCTGTGATTTAAAATATCCATGATCTGGGGTAAGTTACTTCACAGCCTCAATTCTTTTATCTGTGAAAGGGGGATTATGATAGTACCTAGTATTTTTACCAATAAGCTACATTGTCAAGTGCTTGGGATCCCAGTGGCT